CGGAGGGAGACCGGTCCGACGCCGGACTGGAGCTGCGCATCGCTTCAACGACCGGCCCGGTCCGTGGCCACAGCGACGGATCCTTTTTGCGCGTCCTCATGCAACCAAACAAGCAGAAACTTCAGATTCTGTCCGAATGACAGGAAAAGTTAACGCTGCTCTCAGCAAACAGGGTTAGCGATGTTGGCGATGATGTTGTTGTTGATGATAATGATGATGTTGTTGCTTTGACAAGGCCTCTTTTCGGGGCAGCACCATTCTCCGGCCGGTCAAGTGTGCTCCCGAGTGGACAGCGGGTGGGAACAAGTCGTGGAGACGATTGAATTGGCGCGAAAAAAGATCGTGGCATCCGGTCGCCGCTGTCAGGCCTTGCCTCCACTTTACTGCTCGCTTCAAGACGGTCGGGCAACCGAAATGCCCGATACAGTTAGCAGAGCCCACTCTGGCGCTGGCAGTGAAGCAATGCCGTGTGCAATAGGACCGGTGAAATCCGAGCCACTGCGTTGTGCCGCGCTGGCTACCGGTAGATCGCTGCGATGTGTATGGAATCTATTCGGTCTAGTTCGTTTGCGGCGACAGAGCGACTGATAGAACTGTTGGCAAAGCATGCAAGCTCAGTTACAAAGAAGACAAAATTAGCTCACATGTCAGTTGGAATGGTCACATTATTGGGCTGAGAAACACCTTTTCAACAAAGCGAGGAAGAGAGAGGAGAATTTCGGTAATTGCCGAACAGGCCGAGTTCCATCTACAGCACATGGCGTGTATGCCAGCAGGACACACGCCTCACGAAGCAAACAGAACCACACGCATGCAAATCTGCAAAGGGCAATGAGTAGGCAGACAAGCAAAAAGTGAGAAACACAACCAGAGACTGCATACAGAGAGCTCCGTGAGAGGCACCGCGAAGTGACAGAAGCAATGGTATCAGGTGAAACACGATAGACAAACTGGAAATAGGTGTAAAGAGGCGGATCTGCAGAATATAAATGAAAACCGTGATGGAAATAAGAACATGTAAAGCAGTAATAATGCTAGCAATCCAGTATCTAGGATCCAATGCAAAGAAGGAAATAGATAAAACGTGGATTTTAAGATATAACTATTAAATATTAATTAAACAAAGAAACATTAGCATTTTTGGAAACTACATTACTGCGAAAATGCATATATGAAGCCCGACCGAACAGGCGTATTTCAGGGATATGAACATTCACACAAATATGAGATGAATTCACCCTATTTCGTCTAAGCTGATGAATGACTGGTAGTAGAATTTTCCCACAATCATATGAGTTGAGCTGACGTTTCTATTGCTTTGCCAACAGTTTTTCTCATTCCGGCTTAAGTGC